AGCTTCCCAGTAGCTGCTAAAGCTGTTGCGTATATGATATTGTTAAGTTCTGTGATATTTCTCGGTGGTTTATCCGTTAACAGAATTTCCAGAATAGCGTTGTATATTTGTATAATGTGGTTATTGGGATTCATTCTATGAATTTTTGGGAGCTGGTCTCTGTCAGACAATTGTGTGAGGGTTACTCTGCTGAGTACTTGAATGACGTGGTTTTTTGCTTCGGTGATTTCAGCGACGTGATTTTCGAGGAAATTCAACTTAATGTAGTTGGAGTCATCTTCAGTGACATCGTCTGGATAAGAGAAGGTTATGTCACAGGTAGATTCTTCGATTTTATTTCCATGGGGATGGGGTTATTTCGTATTTCATTTGTGTTAGCTTTTACCTCCTCTGTCATATTACTTATTTTTACTTTCATCTCTTTACAGTTTAAGTGATAAGTTATAGTATTCTGTCTTATATCTAATTTTATCTCATCTATTTCTGCATTTGAGAGCCTTTTGTTTCGTACAATGTCCCTGCGGACATTGGCGAGCATGTTTGGGTTGCTATTAGGTCGTATATCCCTTCCTCCCATATTTCCCCATATTTGGTATGTTTGATTTGTGGTGTTCTTTGCAGGATTTTCGAGTGCAATGATGCCATGACTTGTTAATACTCTTCGCGAGACCATTTCGTTCGTTTTCTTTTTATTATTTGATTTGGCATTGAGTCATATAGTCCGAGGTTGGGAATAGCCCGGGTTTGGGGACTTAGTGTCTCTTCGTTTTTGAAAGAGTTTGCTCTAGTGACAGATTTTTTGGGCCCAGCCTGACTCTTCACTGGGGTAAGCGGTCGTTATTGACCCGGGTGACAACCCGTCCGGTATTGTTTTATTCTTATTCATTAAGATTCCTAGGGATTTGCGTTTTAACTTTGACCGTCAAAGGGTAATTATTTTCAAGGACAACACTCAAAGAAGACCTGAGAGCACGTCCAACCAATGAGATTATTATTATTATTATTATTGTCCTATTATTATTATCACATTATTATTATTATTAATAATATTATGATCATATTACTATTATTATTATACTATTATTATCCTATCATTATTATTATGATCTACTGATTGTTATTAATATCATTATTATCCAATTATTATTATTATTATTATTATTATTATTATTATTATTATTGTTATCCTAATATTTTTATCGTTATTATCATTATTATCCAATTAGTATCCTATCATTAGTATTCTATTACTATTATGATACTATTATTATGATGATGCTATTACTATTATCATCACATTATTATTATTATTATTATTATTATTATTATCCTATTATTATTATACTAATGTTATCCTATCACTATTATTATGATCTACTTATTAATATTATTATTATCTAATTATTATTATTATTATTATTATTATTATTATTATTATCCTAAAATTTAATATTATTATTAGTATTATACTATTAAAATTGTGTCTGTCCTACCCTTAGCAAGAGTAAGGAGAGGGAAACAATGCATACCCTACCTAGCGAGCTTGAGTACACGAATTGAGGAACAGATTTTAGAAGAAATAACAGAAAAACTAATTTTATTGAGAGCTACAAGGTACATAAAGATATGGAGATCGCCCATGTTATGTGGAGACACAGCACATGAAGAAGAAGACTGGCACTGTATTTACGCCATATTGTTGTTTCTTCATCAAGGCATTTTTACCTATTGTTTTTAGTACTATTTTAGTTCATCTTATATTTTAAATTTGATCGGTTTTTCTCAATTTTGCTCTATCTTGTCATTATTGTCGCGTTTTCAAGAATTTATATTTTATTTTAATTCTTTTATTTGATTTTACGTATTAATTTATATTTATTATTTCTAATTTAACTGTCATTATTTCATTACTATTTTAGCTCCATTTATTTATCGATGCTTTTCTATCAAACATTTTCTCTATTATTATTATTATTATTTTTATTTGTATTTTCTTTGATTTCTGGCGTTTACACATTTCTTTCCGTGTCCCGCCCAGGGACCTAAGGTTAGAACTGGCATCATGACACTTTCCACCAACAAAATAAAAAAAAAATATACATAGATAAAGCCCTTCGTAAAGTGTGGGCTCTACTTGTCAGAACAATTTTTTGTATCTCCTTGAGGCATGGACTTCCAGAAATCCCTTCAATTAGTCTACTGGATTTTTTTCCAACCAATCCGAGGGCTCCAACTACAACAGGGATTGTTGATGTTCCCATGCGCCACATTTTTTAGATTAATATTTCAAGGTCCTTGTATTTTGATAGCTTTTTGAATATCTTCAAAGATACATTGCTGTCTGCAGGGACTGCCATATCTTCTTCTTCTTCTTCTTCTTCTTCTTCTTATTATTATTATTATTATTATTATTATTATTATTATTACCAGTTTTATTCCGTCTTATTGTTGTTGCCTTTAAGATGAAGCATTTTCATTATTTTTATTTTATTATTAGTTTTATTTAGGTACCTCCCACGTGATCGCTAAAAATACGCATACCGTGATAAAAAAAAAAAACATGCTCCGAACGTAATGAAAACATAATTTTATCGTCAAAATCGTTATTTTATTATTAATTGGATGGATTAAATTATTTTTTACTCATTTTTAAAAAATTAGAAATTTTGATTAAAAAAATTGTTTTTCTTGCGTCAGCGGTTCTACTAACTATTAGCATAGAAAATTTTGGTGTCTTTCTTTTGCAGTGACAAACACATTAATTTAGAAATTCTTGCAAAAATCAAATAATTGTCAGATATTAATGAAATTTTCAGTACTTACAAAAGAATGAAATTAACTTTGAAATTTTTTTATTGGAAAATATTGGCAAAAATATTTTTATTTTACGTGTGTTTCTCCCCTTAATTAATTTTAATCAAAGCTTAAGAAATTCATCAAGATAATCTTTAGTGACTATATTAGTTAAGAGCAGAATGGTTTGAAGAATTGAAAGCACAGATTCTTTTTTTTTTTTTTTATAAAATCGGACCCGCTCTTAACGAAATCTTTTCTGGATCGAAAAATAAATAAAAAACGGAATAAAGCTTAGGCATTATTTAATTAGAGAAGTTTTTAATTGCTTTTATTAATAAAATAAATTAAAAACAATATTGTCTGAAGAAAAAAAGTTTTACGATGAAAAATTAATTTTTACAAGATTTGTTTTAATTTTTTAGTTTGTTTTTTTTTTACAATTTAAAATTGAATACTTTATGAAGTATTCAATCTTTTAAAGTTCAATTTCGATGAGATAATTTTTATAGAAAATTTAGTAAAACTATATTTACTAATCATATATTTTAAATCTTATTACAGTCTGAAGACCCCTATTATTTAAAAAAAAATCGATTTGTTTTGATACATGTATATAGATGCAGAATTCCTGAAGTATGGATGTACAAACCGATAAAGCTATTCTTATAAAGTGACGTGTTTTAAGTGCGGTCTCCGCTTACGAGAAAAAAAAAAGCAATAGTGTATTATTATAAACCTAGTTTATTCTCTCTTATTAGTGTTGCATTTTAGATTAACTATTATTATCATCATTATTATTATTATTATTATTATTACGAGTTTTAAACTATCTTTTTTTTTTTATCCCGTGACCCGTAGGACCGTTGGGGCCACCATAGAAGTGGTGTTTTGGGAGAATCCAACCCTCTCCAGGACGGATTGAATTCAGAGTTTTTCCTTCTCCTAGACTGGTTGACACCCAACGTTATAGAACCCAGTCTGTCCTGCTATTTACCCATAGCTGGGGAGAGAAGAAGAGGATTCATACCTCACTATCATATTACTATTGCTTTTATATAAATGTTTCTCACTATTATTATTTTATTACTAGTTTTACTCCATCTTATTATTATTGCCTCGAAGATGAAGCATTCTCATCATTAATATTTTATTATTAGTTTTATTCCATCTTATTACTGTTGTCTTTAGATTAACTATTATTATGATTATTATTTTATAGCTAGTTTTATTACCATTGCTTTTTATATAAATTATTTTCACAATTATTATTCTTATTTTATTACTAGTTTTACTCCATCTTATTATTGTTGCCTTTAAGATGAAGCATTTTCATTATTATTAGTTTTACATCATGTCCTGTTTTGTGCCATCAGTAGTTCCAAATTAAATGACATCTTAAGGAGAAAATAAAAGACAGAATTATGAGGATTACTAGAACGTCCCTATTTCTAACCAAAATACTAAATGAAAAAAATGCTGAAATGGTAGAACTGAAGAATATAGCTAAAAGCTATATTCTTCAGTTTTACCATTTCAGATCATCAAGGTTAAGACACGTCATCCCGTGTACACAGTGTGAAATCACCCCTATTCCTTTCGTTACTGGGTACGAAGATAAACTACACCCGGCAGCAAGGCCTCTGATCGGAAGATTGGAGTGTTTGAGGAACGTAGAACCATTTCTTAATTCCTGTTGTTCCCAGGCTCATCCTCTCGAAGTCGTAGCACCTGTTAGCGTCCCAACTATTGCAAATAGGGACCCCCCCCCAAAAAAAAAAATTACGAAAGTATTCGGACTATTGTCCTCATCTTTGTTGCCATATTTATTACAACGTTTAGGCTCTTCAGTATTTGTCTATATTTCTGAGATGAGATATTATGTACACTATTTACATTATTCGGACAATTGTCCTCATCTTCGTCATCATATTTATCACAATGTTTCGGCCGTTGTACGCTCCGGCCTTCTTCAAGTGGTTGGAATATCTAATTGAACCCTTTATTTCGCTCGCTGGGATAGACTGTTCTAGTTACACGTGCCATGGCTAATGGATGTCAGTTATCTCCTGTTAATTTGCATCTCCATGTTCTCTACCGCCCAGTCATGGTCTACCCCAGAAAGAAATGGCAACCTACTGCGGGAAAAATCTGCCTCGTCAGTCATGTATCGAAAGTTACATGGATCGCCTAAGCTTGTATCACGTATGGCACATAACCTCTTCACAGTGAATAAATTACATCATTATCTATCTATCTATCTATCTATCTATCTATCTATCTATCTATCTATTACAGTCTTTCCATTCTCCATTCATCTATATATCTGTCTATCTATTACAGTATCCTCATTCTCAATTCATCTATTTCCGTCTTTCCATAATCTATCTGTCTATCTATCTATCAATCTATCTATCTATCTATCTATTAGTCTTTCCATTATCTATCTATCTATCTATCTATCTATCTATCTATCTATCTATCTATCTATTACCATCTTTCCATTCTCCATTCATCTATATATCTATCTATTACCATCTTTCCATTCTCCATTCATCTATATATCTATCTATTACAGTATCCTCATTCTCAATTCATCTATTTCCGTCTTTCCATAATGTATCTGGCTATCTATCCATCCATCTATCTATCTATCTATTACAGTATTTCCATTATCTATCTATCTATCTATCTATCTATCTATCTATCTATCTATCTATTACAGTCTTTCCATTCTCCATTCATCTATATATCTGTCTATCTATTACAGTATCCTCATTCTCAATTCATCTATTTCCGTCTTTCCATAATCTATCTGTCTATCTATCTATCAATCTATCTATCTATCTATCTATCTATTAGTCTTTCCATTATCTATCTATCTATCTATCTATCTATCTATCTATCTATCTATCTATCTATCTATCTATTACCATCTTTCCATTCTCCATTCATCTATATATCTATCTATTACCATCTTTCCATTCTCCATTCATCTATATATCTATCTATTACAGTATCCTCATTCTCAATTCATCTATTTCCGTCTTTCCATAATGTATCTGGCTATCTATCCATCCATCTATCTATCTATCTATTACAGTATTTCCATTATCTATCTATCTATCTATCTATCTATCTATCTATCTATCTATCTATCTATCTATCTATCTATCTCCCCACACACGGAGTCTTAAGCATATTTCTTTACTGAAATATTTGAAAATAGAGACAGAAGAGCTAAAACTCGAAAACCTTATAGAAAAATGAAAAGTATAATGTTGCGCAAATTTTGTCGGAATTTTTAATATAATTAATGTTATTCGGATCAATTCTCGTGTTGGCTGAAAATTTTTTCTCTAAAAAATTCCATGAAAAATCTAATCGCTATAACTAAAATTTCTTTAGTACAGCAATGCTAGTCAGAATAGCAGACATGACAATGATTTACTGCATTTTCTCTTGTATTATACGACCCGAGTATGATACGGTCCCTTGTTTCTGAAGCTAAAAAATGGAATGAATTACACCCTTGAGTATAATACAACCTCGTAGTACAACCTCGTAGTACAACCTCGTAGTACAACCTCGTAGTACAACCATCCGTATGCAATTCTTTTCTAACCATTGTACCATAGTATCCATGAAATCTCCCATTGGGAGTTTCTCCTAATTTCACTTTTCGGGGAAAGGTACTCACTATAAATACCCGCTAATCCATTTTAAGATGTTAATTAATCTACCAGACATTTTGGTTTGATATTTGAATAAATAAAAATATGTTGGATTAATAAATAAAAAAAAAATCTTTTCATTTTTTTTTCAGTAAATTCTTTGTATTATGTCTCGGACGGAAACTGAGCAGATATGTGTTTCGAAAAAAAAAAATGAACTAGTGAATGTTCTTAAAAAGCAAAATAGATCCTTGCTTGTTTGTGTAGCTCTACGTAGCCGAGTGGTCAAAGCCGTCCTGCTCAGGCAGTTGTCTCTCTTGTAAAGGGTTATACACCGAGGTATTTGAAGTGTATCGTAATTATTAATTCTATACCCTGAATTTGTATGCTGGATTCAGGATAAGCGAGACCAGTACATTTCATTCCACTTCCAGATTATAATTTCTGTTTTAGAAAAGTTTATCTTGAGTCCTATTTCTTTATTATAAAGGATGTTTCGCTCCACCCCACCAAAAAAATGACATCATTTTGTAATCTAATAACATAGCCAATTCTCGATCAAATGATTTTAAATTTTAACAAAATGTTTAAAAACTAAGTTGATTGTGCGGACTTATCTCAATGAGAATCTACCAGGAACCGCTTCTTTTCCTTCCTCTTGTCACTTGCTATTTCCAGATTCTATTGTCATGGGTACATAGTTACGCATGGGTAAATAGTTAGGTTGTTGATAGTCTAACTTCAGCTTGTGTATGTGTGTGTTTAAAAGAGCGCACAGGTACAACACCGATCTTAAGAAGAATGAACGAGTGAATGTGCTTAAAACACGAAATAGATCCTTGCTTGGTTGTGTAGCTCTACGTAACTGAGTGGTCAAAGCCGTCTGGCTCAGGCGGTTGTCTCTCCTGCAAAGGGTTATACACCGAGGTATTTGAAGTGTATCGTAATTATTAATTCTATACCTCTGAATTTTTATGCTGGATTCAGGATAAAGCGAGATCACTACATTTTATTCCACTTTCAGGTCATAGTTTCTGTTTTTGAAAAGTTTATCTTGAGTCCTATTTCTTAATGATACAGGGTGTTCCCCTCCATCCCCGCTAAAAATGAATATTTTGTAGTCAATTCTCGATCAAATGATCTCAGATTTTAAGACAATGTGGAAAAACTAAGTTGACTGTGTGGACTTATCTCAATGATAATTTACCAGTAAAACGGATTGGGCGTTCCATTGTAAATGTTACCTCGTTCACCTGACTTGACACTTTCTGATTTTTTTCTATACGGCTACTTGAATGAAGGTCTATAACATCACTTCTCCTCAAAAACCTAGAGTGACTTAAACAGAGAATCACTGAAACGTTAGTGAATGTTACGTAAGACATGCTACGGCGTATTTGGCAGAAGCTGGACTACCGGTTTGATGTGCGTCGTGCCACAGGTACTGTGCATATTGGACATTTGCGAACCTTTGTGAAACCGGTTATAAAATCTATATCTCTTTCATTATCTTGTTCGAATTTTGACAAATATATATTTTACTAGCAGCATGGCCCGGCGTTGCCCATGCTTGATTCAAAAATCGTACGCCTCATACAGCAATCGTTATCACTTGACTTAAAATATTTTTGCCCTTCCTTGCCTTTAAAGGAGTGCCCTTTGTCGTGCTAATGTTGCTATATGCCTTACTTCTTGCCTATCTCACACGGCGAATTTTTTCTAAGCTCTATACTAAACATTAAATCTGTTACGAAAAAAGAACTAAACAAAATGAACACAAAACGATCAGCTTTAAAAAAAGGACTCGTAACTGGAAAAACCGAAGGAAAAAAAAATGTTAACAACAAATACTTTTTCACATCCAACCCAGTTCTGCGGAATCAGAATTAACGTTGAGTTTAAGCAAGCGAATGAGCCAATTGGAGTAAAGTGCCATGCAGATTTAAATTTTTCCCCCTTGTGACGAATGCAGCTATCGATTTTTTTGCATGCTAGCATGCTAGTGAACATTCGTGTCAGTCAGCTATATGGCTCTCACTCTGGCCAGTAGAAAATGGCCGAAAACTACATGAAAACTGCCGTAGAAGCATGAAAAAATATCGATTATTTCTACTATTGATGGGAGTTGGCCGTCCCGCTAACTTGGAGCATGTGCATTTAAATTTTGGTGCGCAAATCCGTCGAAAATTGAGAAAGCAACGCATGACATACCTAGCAGACGTAAGCAAATGGATGACAGAACGTGATCTGGGGGAGGTGGAAGAAGGACGTAACTTATTGTAAGCCACAAGGGATAGGGTGAAGTGGTGACCCATAATCGCATACATCCGGCACATAAAAAAGAAAAAAGTATTTGAATACCTGCATATATATATATATATATATATATATATATATATATATATATATATATATATATATATATGCATATATATATATATATATATATATATATATATATATATATGCATATATATATATATATTTAAATACATATAAGAGTTTTTCGGAAGTTAAAAATTTTCTGAAAACGTAAAAAAGCCATTTTTACGTTCAAAATTTCTCATTCTAAGGCACAATAAAATTCGTCTTCTATGTCCCGTGTCCCTTCATGATGTAGGCGATCATGGTCATCCACATCTTCCTGACCTTTGCAGCTGTCTTTTTGTTTTTCCAAACCCTGTTCTATCATCCATTTACTCATCAAGTATATTTCTTGCTCATTTCCTCTTTCCTTCATTCTATCCTGTGAGTATCAGGTTTTTTAAGATCTCTTTCGCCATTACGTAACACAGAAATTTCAACTTTTCTCTTCCTGATGTTAAGTACAAGTTTCCTTTTTGTTTCCATTTTCTCTAAAACCTCGTCGTTGCTCACATGTTCGGCCCATGGTATCCTCAGCATCCTTCTGTAGAAATTTCAACTGTCTCTTCCTGATGTTAAGTACAAGTTTCCTTTTTGTTTCCATTTTCTCTAAAACCTCGTCGTTGCTCACATGTTCGGCCCATGGTATCCTCAGCATCCTTCTGTAGAAATTTCATCTGTTTCTTCCTGATGTTAAGTATAAGTTTCCTTTTTGTTTCCATTTTCTCTAAAACCTCGTCGTTGCTCACATGTTCGGTCCAGCATCTTTCTATAGAACCACATTTCTGATGGTTCAAGTCTCTTCTTCATCTCTGACATTGTCCAGCATTAGAGGTGGACATGTATCAGTTCAGTACTCTTTACGACAGTTAAACAAAATTCAGTGAACTATTACATCTGCTACTACTACTACTAGGAAATGCAAAAGAAATGACAAAATAATTTTTTTAAATTGTCACACATGAAATGACGCACTTTATAGGGAATGAATAAAATGCTTCCGAAATGTTAAATAACTAATTTATTTCGTTGAAATTGGCACCATGTTGATGAATGACTGTTATCCAACGTACTTCTTAATTCTTGATCCCATCTCTAAAAAATATTCTCATCCTTTGATATGATACAGTTCAAATGATTCGATCATCTCTTCCTTATTGGATAATGTTTTATTGCGTATGAAAAAGCTCAAAATGTTTAAATAAGTGATAATTAGTAGAAGATATGTCAGGTGAATATGGAGGATGAGGGAAAATGGTATAATTCAGGTTATGCAGCTCTTGGACAGGTGATTGGGAAGCATGGGACATGCATTATCTTGCACCAAAATTGGGCCATCCCTATTCACAAGTCTATGAGATTTCTTTTTCAATTTTTTATACATACTCAATTTCTCCACAATTTATGGTATTTCCTTTGAGTCAAGAATAAATAATGAATAACCCCTTTGAAAGACCACCATTAAGTAACCATTAACTTTTTAGGGTGCAGTGGAGTTTGGGGTATTGTTTTGCTGATTCACCTGCATCTAACCATTAGCCTACTCTCTTACTTTTGTCAAAGAGTATCCATTCTCCATCGCATGTAATGATTCGATTCAAAATGATTCTTTTTTTCCAATTTGTACACATAAAGTGTTATATAAGAATAAATTGTCACTGCCGACACTTGAATTTGAACATGGATCGCCAGTGAGTAAACCCAGGCGATCCCATTATTGAATTAAGTAGACCACGTGACCATAGAGGAAACGCATAAATAGGAAGTCGCATGGTGTATAACTAATCTTCATTTCTAGTCTATCCTCTATTACTATTCGGTTTACTATTTCTACACTATCCACTTTTACTATATGGACCGTTATTCTCTACTCTATTCACTATACTATTTCTCTATTCGGATCACTATACAGATTACTATTCGAGCGAGGATTATAGAGCAAGTACTATTAATGCGAGAGCTATTCGAAGGCGTCTGACACCAGTATTGTTTAACGGCGTTACTATAGTTGTATCTGCGATTACAATGTCTCTACTACAACGAGCATTACGAAAGTGACAACGAGTATTCGTTGACATCTCAAAAATGGCAAGGAGTTTCCGTTGACGTCTCCAAAGGGGCAACGAGTGTTCGTTGACATCACAAAAGTGTCATCCATTGTTCGTTGACATCACAA